CTTCACCATCTGAGCCCTTGAGAGATCAACCGTCTCCTTGTTAAAGATTTTGCGTACAAGACAAAACTGAGCGCATGTATCCAACACGGCTATCATGAAATGAAGAAAAACATAACAGTCGTTAATGTTGTTTTCCTCACAACACAGAAAAAAAATGAAAAATGATCGTAAATATAAGGAGAATCTTTAAAATGAACAAATAATTTTCCATATTTTCTTCAGCTCCATGGCATTTTATAGATGCACCATCCATTTGTTATAATGGTTTCAAGAAAGTAAAGTGGACGGAGTTCTGAAACTAATATGATTAAATAATACTGAATACCCAACAGTTTCATTTTTAACATTTTTGTAAATAAAATTCAAATCCAGAAATTCGTTCCAGAATTTTTTTTCATAAATCAACAGATAAGACAAAGTTTTACTTGCTTGTTTGATTTTAACCGATGAAATAGAAAGAACCGATGTAATAGACATATGTTTGGAACGAAACAAATATATATATATATATATATATATATATATATATATATATATATATATATATATATATATATATATATATATATATATATATATATATATATATATATATATATATATATATATGTCTCACATTATTCACTCACAGATAATGTATTTCAGGAGTAAAATGTAAATGAAACCTTTTTGAGCAAAGAAGTTGGTTGTTTATTTGTTTCTTTGAATCATCTACCTTACCATTGTGATGTAGAAGAAAAATACTTGAAATGATCATGTATGAACTTAATGCAGTTAATAAATTAGGGATCCTTAATACTCATTTTCGTTGAAATAAAATTTTGGTATTGCTTTTATTGATAAAACATCCAGGCATCCACTGTGCAGGCCCTTCTTCGCATGCGCAATCTGTTTTCGGTAGTTTTCGTTCCCAATACCCTTGCCAGATAAATTTTATGCCAATTAAACTGTGGCCGACATAAGCAAGATCTTCAGGGGTAGTGAATTATAATTCTGGATTCTAGCCAATCGGGTCACTGTTTTCAAATTATATTGTATGCATTGTAAACATGAAAAGGAAATTTACAAGAGTATAGCGAGAGAAAAACTATAGGAAGGACAGTCACGTAATTACAGGTTAATCAACAGACAAGAAAAGAGATGAAGTGGGGATATGTACTATAATTATATACGAGTAAAAAAAAAAACCGAGTAGCAAATCATTTATAGATGGTCGTTCGCCTGTTGTTTTTATAAGCGACGTTATACGATGAAAGCTGTCTCGTCATTGAGTCCAAGGGATAAGCTTGGAAGGACATAGATTTATGTGTGTAATTGTAATCTTAAACGGGTTTTTGCTAAGCGAAGTGAGCTGAAATGCATTGGCTTGCGAAGATGGTGCAGGACCCAAAATTTCCAACTTATTTTTTTTAGTCAGTTAAAGATGCCAAAGTTCTAAATTGGATGGAAATATTATGTTTATGATTTAAATTGTTGCTTACATATATACGCGAAAACAAAATAAATAAATAGCTACCTTCCATTAGAATTGATTCCTTTCAACAGTTCTAATACCTGTGGAAAATCATTTTATTACATTTCAATTATATTACAAAGCATCAACACGTATACTGTTTAATACTGCATATGTGCGATAAATTTACTTCATAAGATAACAACATACATTTGAACTTATTAATAGACGTTTTATACTACATAGCAACAGATCAACCTTAAAATATCTCTACCAAATACACAAGACAAATCATTACAGGATATGATTTCATTAGTTTTTTTTTATTATCTTTCTGATATCATGCAATATATGCTGGGGATAAGAAATGACTGTACTGTAATTTCGTTGAGCTAATTTAAGGAATATTATTTTTAAAATGAGATCTGAGTTACATTTACAGGTGGTGTAGATGAAAAGAAAAATAACTTACCTTCTTTGCGTGATCCAATTATTAGAAATGGTTTAAAATTATGCCCATAAAGGGTAATTCAATCGCACTGATATGTTAACAGTCACATTTGTACTTTCAATAGTTTTTGTGTTATGTCCATTGAAGGGTGAAGACCTGTTCCTAAAACCTCATAAAAACAAAAGAAAATTTGAAAAGATTAAATACCTATTTTTTTTTTTAATTCTATATGCTTATCGATAAGAAAGTACAAGCTGAATGTAAATTTGAATAAAAGCTGTAAGGGTCATAATCTCGTGTAAAAGGTACAGGAGCATTTTTTGAAAAAAAAAATCGATACAATTAGCTTAACTTTTTCATGTCCCTAGTTTGGCCATCACATCAGGTAGAGGTAACTCCTCTTAAAAAACACCAAACAGTGTTAAACACAGTGCAAAATAGATCTATATATACTCCTTGCTCATTCAATATAGACAGACTACTTGAATTCACATATAAATGATACACATGTTTTTGTAGGTCCGTGTTTGCTCCGTTCCAAATTTGTAATGTCTCAATGGACTTTTGAGATTGATTACTTTCGTTATCTTGAATAGTTTATATTTCATAAATATTACGAAGAAAATCAAGACTGTTTGAATGTTAAAATTTCTTGAAACACAAAATCTATCAGAATTTCCCATCAAACATGAATATCTTGAATGTCGACTCAAACAATATTTCAAATTGCACTAAGCATTCTAAAAATAAAAGACTATTCTCTAACACCACTCTTCCTAACCCAATAATATTAAAAAATTAGTAGATAATTTGCTATCCACATAGTTTTTTTCTTTCATAATATAAACTGGAGACTCATACTTTTGTCTCCATTATTCATAGCATATCTAAAATAAACCTTACATGAGATATGGAGATCACGAACAGTATTCAAGTTCAAAGTCCATTTAGACATTCCAAATCATCAGAGTCGGGATCAAGTGCCATGGAGGAGTTAGCATCCCCTGTTGTCAAGTCACACATGTACTTATTGAACTTTTTATCTATTTTCATATAATCCATGTATCTGAGCTTTTTTTTTTCTTTTTTTTTTTCTTTTTTTTTTTGTATTTTGTATTTATTTATTTTATTTTTATTTTTTTGTTTTTTAAAGGACAATATTTGTGACTTTTTGTATTTGTTATGGTCGTGATGAAATTTTTGAGAGAAAAAATTTAGTCATTAACTACTGGTACCATCTCAAGGTGAGGAACTGAATTTTATTGTAATTATTACGCTTTGAAACTCCAATTTTCTTTGTTGAGCAAGGTCAGGAAACTAGGTTGAAGAACAACAATTTTACTGATGATGAAATAAGTACTCATGTATATCATGAAGATACAGTGTAATGAACAATGATCATTGACGCATAATGAACCCTCTTTATCAGGAAAAACATAGTAATCCGTATTCAAAGGATGATTCTCTATAAGGCCATTTTCCGGCCTACGATGAAATCACTTAAAAATGTGATTTTATGTAACTTTAATCATTCTATTTCATTATTTTGATGTTTGTTTTTCAACATCGATCACCTAAGTCACGTGATTTAGAGATCACAAACGGCCATCAATTAAAGAAATATTGAGGGTAGGTCTATTTACATCAAGTTTCTATGCATGTTTCTAAATGTAAATGATCAAAAATTGCTTATTTATGTCGGAAACATATCAGACTTAAGTAATAAGTGCGAAGATTGTTTAATTTAAGGCTAAAGATATTTTTTTATGACAAGAATTTTGATGCATTCACATTTTGCATAATTTGAATGTAAATCTTTACAAAATGCACCTCGTATGATGTTGAAAAATGTTTATTAGCATTTAATTAAAAGTATTATTTCATATATGTTTATATTGTAATTATGTATTGTTTCTGTAGATGTGGTACCTGTTTTACGCTTAATATGCCCATGTACGAAATGAGATTTCTAAGTTAATATTGCACTATAAAAGTTGTATATCAAATGTTTAAAGCATTGAATGAATTTTGTTTGTGATTAAATAAAAATCAAGTTTTTATTAATAAAATATAATTCTACATTTGCAAAAAATAAAGAATTCATTAATTTACAGGATGAAAATATTAATGCAAGTACATGTTAACTATTCATATAAATAGTCAGTACATAAACACAGAACGGTTGTATTAAAAATATATATATCAACGTAAAATGAAATAACATCGAGTTGCTTTGGTTTAATTTGATTACGCATGTAAAACAATATATTTAATTTAAAATGCTATCTAAACTATAATACACAAATGTATGTATAAAAGTCTAGTCCCTTCCCCCTCTAACGGCACTCCATAAAATGTAGTAGATTTTCAACAGTTCCTTCCACTACGCATATCAGAAGTTATAGTATATCCATGGACTAACAAAGTTCTACAACATCCCAGGTACAAAATGAACCGTACGGGTTTGACACTCCTTTCGCACTCTTGAAACCTGAGGGTTAAATTCTCTTTCCCAGTGCTGCGTCAAGAACTAAGGTGCTTAACACGGGTGGTGACAGTTTCTTTGCTAAGTCCTCAGCATTAAAAGTAAAAGTCATGGGTCTTTTGGATGTTACCTTAAGGATTTCCGATCCTCACCCAGGAAGGATAACTCTTAAATTTATTATTTTATTTAAAAAGTCTCAAAACGAAGCTTGAAATTGAGATCTTTTCGTACAACAATTTTCATTCCATGCATCTAAATAAGATGCAAGGTTCTTTGAAGTCTTAGAAACGGTCTTGTACAAAGTTTACATTTGTACCCCATAAAAGAAAATGATAAATTCATTTTTAGAGAAATCGAATTTCCTTTAATCTAGCATTAGATACCAATGCTTATTAGTATGATATGAAATTAGACGTGATCTGTGATGTCTAGCAATGATAGCACAAGCTGTTTACACTATTTACTATATAAAAATGGAAGTTAATAGAAGAACTAAAATATTGTATAAGCATAAAAAAGATATAATTTTCTTCAAATGCCTGGATACCTATATTTTTTTTATCCTAAAATATATTTGTTGATCAATTTTCAATTAGAAAATGCATAGCTGGTGTTTTTATTCGCATTTCCTGAAAATATATTTAAGATCTAATAATTTTCCCTATATAATATGATTAACTATAATGATGAACTTTGAAGAAATACCATGGGTAAATTCACGTAACTCTTTGAAATCAGAGACATTTTTGTGAGCATTTTCAATTACTTAAAAGCTGATTTTCAGAACCTGAGGATCGGACTACCTCAAAGAAGGAGGTCCTGTCCCACGATAGGTGTTGGTCAATAACGAAACCATGCATAAATCAAAATTGTGACACTTCACCTTAAGTGGATGATCTCTTTATCTGGGTGTAAAATTCTAAAATGACGTAAAGCAACATTCAATTATCAATCACATGTGACATTTAGGAACCCTTTTCCTCCTTGGCATTTGATTTTCTAAGACAGAACTGCTGTTCTCGTAACTTATATTGATGCTACCAAAGATGTGTGATGAGTATGATGAATAGATTGAGTCCTCTCAACACCCAGTTAACAAAATACATGAATCCTATGTCACTCAGACGGAAAGTTGTCCTTCTAAAAGGTCGAGCCGAGAATTCGCATTATGAAACCATCCCATCAGTAATTCTCTATCTATAAAAGTTACATGCCTACCCATAGAAAAATAAATTTATAACACAAATAGGAAATGCATCTTCCCGCTAAAACAAAAATAGCTTTTATCAATTCTAGAATTATATCACTAAGATGTCTCAAAACACTTTCCAAATATTTCAGATGCTAATGCTTGAATGTTTTCCGATGAAGAATTTCGCATTTTGGTATTTATGGTCTCTAAGGAATATCCATACTCCACCCTTTTATTTGCAGGCACATGAACACCATCCTCGTAAAAACAACTAGGAACACCGGCTCTGACAATAAGTACGACATAAGTTTTTTGTTGTCTTATCATGAAGCCAGGTGAACCTGAAGACCCAGGGGCAAATGTCGTGCTGAATAGTATCTTCTGAGGCGGATCACGCAGTGTTGCGTAATAATCAATTCCATTTGGGAGATTCTCTCTACTCCAGTCACTTAACCATTTAACGTAAATATCAACGTTGTTGTTTGGTTTAATTATGTTTGGGTAAACTTGGCTTTCTTCTTTCATTTGCACGCAACCAGTGTGGCCAATGAGGTGAATCTCTGATGGATATTGCATTTTACCGAAAGAATTCAAAGGTGGTGCAAACTTGACTCCGCTTTCCTGGTGAACCTTCAATTCCAAAATAGCTACATCAAAATCTTTATCCATGTAGTGAAGAGTTGACTCAAATCTAAACTTCTTCATCAGACTGGGTCGCTTGTGTCTTGCCAAACTGAACGCTAATTCTGTCACTCTCGATGGAATTTTGATCTGGAAAAAAATACCGTTTAAAGTACACAATGCGCTATAGAGAGAATAGTGTATGAAATAAAAATAAGAATAGGACTCTCTACATATAGCTACTAGATCTACATTATATGCTAGGTCCTAAGATTAGATTTGCTTAAATCAATCCATGAAAAAAAGGGAAGTCCCGCACAGTTTTAAATAAAATTTTATGTCCATTCATTACCCATACCTTGACCACCTTTAACATAATTCAATTCAAACAATCTGCACAGCAAGGGGAAGGTAATAAATGGGAAAATAGATTAAGGTAATATCGAAGATACAACGTTGTTCCTTTAAAAGTGACGATATTTTTCAACGTATATCAACGTCAGTAGAACGCTTCTGTGTGCATTCTGTTCATTCTGTTAAAAAATAATCCTTCCTCTGGTCAATGATAACGTATATTTATCCTTTGAGTGTTTCATTTTGTATCGGTTGGATCAACTAAAAGAATTTTAGGAGGTACAGCTAACCTTTGATAATCTTTTCAATAACATGTAAGCATGTCATGATATATTTTTCCCCAACACGAAATCCTGTTCCTCCAGAAATTCCATCAACGAGTATGAGCCCAACACTCTTGCTGACCTCTACTTTGATAAAGCTTGTCATCACATCTGTTGGACACAGGTTCAGGTTCCGTTCTTCGTATTTTCTTTCCCTGAAATGTGTTTCTTATGCAATAACATGTAACCGCATACGTTCAAAGTCTTCTTTTTGTCTTTTTAATCAGATTTAAAATGTATTTCTTTCAAAACAATTGGAAATATGATAATTATATTTCAAAAACATGAAATTAATAAGGCAAATATAGATTTAAAATCGTGATTCTTTTCTATTTCTTTGTGAATCATCAGAAACATGACCACATTGCAAATGTTACACTGTACATATCTTTCCGTCGATTCCGATGTAACTTCTAACCCGACTGATAACAATGACTTCTTTTTATCCTCTTCGTGTTTATAAAATTAATAATTATTTGCCATAATACCTCTAAATGCCTATAGTCCCTAAAACAACCCTCTCTATTTCCTTCTGTGCTGGCCTGCACATCCTGAAAATTGTCAGGAAAATTCACATAAATAATATTAAGAGAAGCTCAAATACGTATTGAGAGAAGTCGTGAAAGATTAAGTTAAGAATATAATTTATACTTTGAATCCAAGGAAATTCTTTCTCCTCTGTCTTTATATATAAACAGTCAGATAGATAATGAAAGAAATAGTCATATTCAGATACTTTAAGCCATCGTCTTAATCTTCGTCATAAGATAGGTTAATGTAAGATGTGCTACTAGTATATAAGGTAACCTTTTCCCAGAAACGCAGGGTTTCTTCAACATTTATTGAATGCATCACAGAACAGAATTTGCATTGGATTATTCCCTTTCTGATATTGGCTATTTCACTGAAAGGTATAAATGATCGATCCTCATTATTACAAATAATGCGCTGGCATTTGTGTCCCTTGTGAAAATAAATTTTCTCATCAAAGGTATCTGTAAGATTTTTACAAGCAATTTGCACAGTCTCTCCTATCTCAATAGAAATGTTTGTCTCTATAATTGAAGTTTTAATACGTTTCAGTTGCACCTGAATGTCATTTTCACAAATACCAATGACAACAGTGTGATTTTTGTAATCAAAAATTGATGCTGTTTGATATAGACCGAAACTCTCTTTTTCCCTGGTGACATTCCATTTGAGGTAACTCATACAATAAGCAACTAGTCTGTAGTAAACAAACATAGCAAATGAGAGAAATCGAAAACACAGTATTGATGAGTATTCCCATTTTTCGTCTGAAAAGTCTTGGTTAAATATTCTTTTGTTCATACATGGAACAAACCATGCCTTGTCCTTTTCTGTGGTATCTTTTTTGGAATGTAGAGAAACTAGCATATGGAGTTGTTTCTCCATTTTTGTCATAATTTCAGTTTTGTGATTCAAATATGAAGGTACATCTTGCCACAGAGCAGTCAATAGTTTAGCATCCAATTTCCCTGTCTTGTTGAACAAGTCCCATTCTGTATAATATCTTTTCTTACAGTCTTTGTGAATATGGTTTTTATCGGCTATAAGTTTGTTAACTGCAATAGCAAACCACTGAATATTAAGAATAACATTTTGTATTGAATGATCTTCAAAATTATTCCCATCTTCAAACCATAATAACAACCCGTTGCTGTGGAAGAACTTTAAAAATTCAGATAATGTTGTTTTGTTTTCAAGTTGAAACTCAAAGGGAAGGCATTTTGTGTTTATATCCCATATTTCTTCAAAAGACATAACTTCTTCTTTTTTCTCTTTGATCAGCTGTTCTAGCAGTGCCCATTTCGAGGGTACTTTCATTGTATTACTGAGTTTTTGTGTGGCTGCTTTAATTATGGATGTTTTGATAGATTCCAAAGTTTCCCTGCCCGCATCAGTTAGATTGAGAAGGTCAATTTCATACTCAGAGTCGACTAGAGACCATCTCAACCAATCCCTGTCTTCCACTGGAACTGCTTTCCAGAACTCCTTAAAATATTCATCCATTTCCTGTCGATAAGAAATAAATCCATTCCATTAAAATATCTTCAGCTTTATTAGTGCATGCAGTTTCCAATTTAAAATGTTGTTAGTGTTGCATGTAAAAATACTTTGACAAATATTCACACTTAACTGCTTGTGTCATGTACTTACATCTTCAGATTTTTCTTCTGTGTGAGTAGCTATGATCAAGACAGGGGCTTTTGTACTGCCAAATGTCTTGATTGATGATATCCAGAACTTCACGTAGTCTAAAAAAGATGACACCAAAGTAGATTGCATAAAATTAATTTTACGGGTTTTTCTTTTTATTTTTCGATTTTTTTTACACTATTTATATAGTTCTAGATATTGATCAACATTTAAGCCTGCTTATCTATAAATAAGATGTAAAAACAAAGGCGGGTTATTTAACTTCACGAAAGGTGCTTCTTGCAAGTTATATTACAATATATTCCTAGCGTAGATTTCAGAAGAATTTCATAGTCTTTTATGCATTGTAGGCGTATTTTGCACGAATAACTACGTGCAGAAATATCTGTCTGCATTGAATGAGAACTTCTAATACTATGGAGCCTCTGCTCCAAACTTTTAAGGAATGTAATGCAACTCTTACATTAACCCTTAATAATGTGTTGATCAGGTAAACGGAGTAACCCTTTGTAACAGTTTTGATGAGCAATATAAAATTTATCTCTTTATAACTATTGTACTGTTGTTTTTATATCATATCATATATTATTTTTTGTTGAGGTTTAAAAGAAATATCCTATCAAGACACCATAGATATCTACCTTTATAAGTCCATGTAGAGAAAATTGATCCCTGCTGGTTATTTTCTTCTGTACTTACATAATCTTCAAACTTCTGAGTCACATTTAAAACAAGAATAAAGAACACTCTTTCTGTGATGTAAATCTGATGGCATGCATAATACGCGAATTGACCAGCTAAATCCAGCATACTAATTGTTGGTACTTTTTCTTTTTCATCCAATATCTTCAGCAATATATCCCTTGGAATTGTAGTTGTCCTTGCGTCTGAGTGAACAGAGAGGGGTTTCATATGCAATTCTTTATCTTTTTCAATATGAACTGTTTTATTTTCAGTTGAATTATTATCCTGTATATCTGAATTGTCCTCTTCTGATTGTACATTTGCAAAATTTTCATTCGCTTCCACATTTCCATCTTTCTTAACGACCTCAGAATCTAAGTCAGACATACTAACCCTAATAAATGCTTTCTGTCGTCCATCGTCCGACGATACTGTTAAAAAATATTTTGTTAACTAAGCTATTAACCTTTGAAAAAAAATATCATTAGCTTTTCAGAGTATTGTTCAACTATTATCAGGTTTGGTAGGAGCGCTTATAAATTGAACCTCAGTAAATATATGTGTTTTTAAGTAAGTATTCAATTAAAAATTAAACCTTCTAGACGACCATTTCTGATGGTAAATACATGCTGATGAAGCTCTAGGCCCCTTGTAGACTCAATATCCTCTACATCATCTTGGGTTTCTCCCATTAAACGTTTCAGTAATGTTGTTTTTCCTGCTTCAGCACAACCAACAAGAATGCATCTTGAGTGGTCAACAGTTCTTGTGCTTTTCTGTAAAGACCCTTCTAGTTTTTCGATGTATATTTGTTGCAAACTCCTCTTTAGAATTTGTGATAGGACATTCGAATGTATAACCTTACCGCCGGAACCTAACAGTAAAGTAATTACTTTTTTATGAAAAAATGCATCACATTTGCAATACAGGTATATTTTACTGCATCAAAATTAATCAATAATGCTACGAAAGGCGCGACTGAACGACGATCATCGATAGTTTGGATTGATGTTTTTGTGTGTTTTAGTAAGTGGAGAAATAAGGTACATATACAGCATGTACCTGCTTTGCCTTTTTGAATTGATTTTTTTTTTCAACATTAAAAGTCGCATCGTTTATCCTTGCATTATTTTTGTTAATGGATTCTTACAATGGATTATTCAATGTCGTAGCAATTTTTTTTTTTTTTTTTTTTTTTTTTTTTTTTTTTTTTTTTTTTTTTTTTGTCTAAGTATAAATATTGTAAGTTAGTTATGGAACAAATAAAGAAAGCATCTATTTACTATAACACACGGTATTAAGGATACATAACACTAACAAAAATTTGATGCCTGGATTGATATACATTATTTTACTGATTTTGAATAGAAATTACATAAATAATAAATCCCTAAAATATAAAGAAATCGTAAGCTTTCTTTGGCGCTTAAATATGCGACTTTGTTTTGTTTACTATATAATTCTATACAATATTTTGCATATATTTTTAACATTGCTTACACAGTTCTCCCAGTTTACCTGGTAAACATTACTAGTATTCAGATTACTTATTTGAATATAAATTTATGAGAAATCTTGCAGATTTCTGATAAAAAATTTGTTTGTGATATTTATCCTTAAATGTATTGCAGAAATGTAATTATATTTTTTTGTATAATCACATTGAAATTACAATTTATTCAATGAATGTTATATTAAGAACAAGGTACGGTTTTTATACAACCCTGACCCTATATTTTTCTTAAATATGAAAGTGACATAAGAAATTAAACTCATACTTTCTGAATCGTTGAAATACCATGCAGTAAGAACATTCAAATCGTTTTTCTCATATGACCTCATAAATGTTAATTGTAACGTCACAAACTTGTGGATTTTTCTCGTATTTTCTTAAAACTTTACAATAGGCATCAATTTTCAGTTGAATTTTCTTTCAGATAATATAGAGCACATGCGTTGCCCACAAAGATTTTGAGAAATATGATTTTTTTTTTTCCAAAGGATTTTATACGACAAATTAAAAAATATTTAAGTGGGTCACGGCTGTGGACATTATTTTCTTAAGGAAAATACCCATAGAAATGAGTCATTTTAAGATTTTTCCTGTTTGAAACTTAGAAATGTACGGAATGGTCCTCCTTTATGCAATATTTCTTCATGACTTATCATATTCATATACTAAACTCATTTTTAATCCAATTTCATATATTTAAAAAAAAATAATAATAAAATTAATCTCTAGAGCACAATAGATCCCAAACCGTACCTACTTCTTTGTCTTCATTTCGCCAATTAGCACTTTTGTAAGTAACTGACTGAATAACGTAATCAAATAAGCATGTGAGTTCTGTATTCTTTAGCATCACAGTGGTGTAAGATGTCAAGATCCATTTGCAAGTTAATTAAATGACATTAATACATGTAGCACATAGAGTGATTCTGTGAAGTCTTCATGAGGACCAAACAGACATACCTGCTTCTTTATCAAGTTTTGGATCTAAAAGTAATCAAAGTAGTATAAAACGTATTAATTTCTGGGGAATATACATGTATGAAAATGTTTGTCTTCTTAATCAATACTTAAAGCACTTACCAGTACTTATATCATTTTTCTTTTTCTGACGACTAATGGACACTGATAATAAAGGTTTTCCCAATTACAGATAGAAATACAATAATGAAATTCGCTTTAAATGAATAATTTTTGATGAAATCTTAATGATATATAAATTAACCCTTTCACGATAACTGCGGTACTAATCTTTTGCAGGGCAAAATAACAATATTAGGCGAAGTTTTTGTTGACAGATAATTAAATGAGGTATATTAAACAATTACTTTTACGTCATATTTCACCAAAATATATCATTTTGCCCTGCAAAAGAGCAGTACCGCAGTTATCATGAAACAGTCTATTGAAGCAAAATCTTTTTTAAAAATGGATAAATGTCTTTTATATTGTCACGTTAAGTGATAGTCTTCATAAATTACATATAACTATGTGCGTTTTCATAAACACTAACTATCTGTCAGATTATTACAACATCTTTTTCATAACATTGATCTAATATAACATTTTGCAGAATTATGAAAGTTAAAAAAATCTTTTCATAACTTTGATTAATAAATCTTGCATTAAGTTTTGTTATTAGAAATAAATAATTCTGGTAAACGTTTTTCTTTCGAATTCATTTCACATAGAATAAATATCCATAACTGTTTGTTAAAAATTAAGAAAAATCTATAGTTTTTAGAAAGAGGAGGACATTCAAATAATTAAAAAAGAAAAATTCACCTAGTGCATGACAACTCTATTTACCTGATACTTTGTACACTTTTGAACGTAATTCATCTACAGCCCCAAGACTGTCAATGTATTTCTTAGCAAGTTCTGGATCTATGAAACATGTCTTGACTTCAGTAACGGAATCCTGGTAGACGGTAGAACACCCTAGGTGTTGCTCTAATTCTACAATGATATTCCGGATGTTCTGCCATTCTTTATTAAATTCTGAGTCAGAGAGAGATATATCAGTAGAATTACCAGAATATTTGTTCCGAAGAAGACGAATCCGTTCAATGTTTGCGGCAAAGCTTCTGTCACCCAGGTCTGGGACTTTCCCCCAACCTTTGGGAGGTGGAGGTATTTTGCAGACAATCCGAAGAATGTCGTACAATATATATATACCAAGGTCTGAAAAATCTCCATCATATTGGTATATTTGTAGTGGAAACATTATTTGAAGTTGTGATGCTTTCAAAGGGACTCGCTTTTTGTTTTTCTCATAATCACGAGACCATTGTTTCATTACCTTGGATAATTCACACGGTGGAATTTTCTTTTTAAGAATATCACGTAGCACATCTGTACAGGGACCCAATATAAGCCTCGCTAGCCGGGCGGTATTTGTTGTCTCTGGTGCTGATGTGCACTTTAATGACGACATTGCAGATTTAAGTTATAAAGCTCTATTTACGTGTAAATGCGGACGGCTTTGTCAAATCTTGATGTGACCTTTATTTGTCTACAGGAAAAAATACATGACTGAAAATTTTTGCTTATATCAGAAGGAGAGCAAGATAAAAAAAAAAAAGGACCACATTATATGTTACTTTTAGATGGTAAACATTTAAACAGAGGTATAATTTTATGCATTAAAATTTAGAAACCTGTCTAGTTACATCATACCAAGATTAGACATTAACATTTAAAACGAAAGTAGAAATGTTAATATTCTAAAGTGATGACACAGACTCCTGTCATTCCTCCTGTTTATAGATACCCTCTTAAAAATTCTCGGTTAATTACTTATGCATTATATAAAATAAATATTTGCTGTACCTTTGCTTCTTTGCGCCATTTTCACTCTCGGGCAAGGTCAGTCATTACCTCCTTCATCTAAATATAGAAGATATTGCAAAATACTGCATGCCTAGTAATCTGAGATAGGGTGACTCATGAAAAGAATAATAAGTCTAGAAAGGAAAAAAAAACTAAATAAAGTACATTTCGTTTAAACCGGGATTGATGAAAGAGTTATAAAAAAGGAGGGGTTTGGTATATAAAGCTTTCTATATCTTTTTTTTTTATGTAGCTGTAACAATTTCTGCAATGTTAAGAGAATACTGGGTGTGTAGCTTGTAAAATGTAATAGGAACGTCTAACACTAACTCTAAATTCCAGTGTTGCATTAAAAACATTTTAATTCAATTATTCTAATAAATTACTACATGTAATTAATTTCTTTTAGCAACTCAGATTTATAACTTGCAATTATGAGCAAATTCAGTAAAGCGTTGAAGTTGAAATCACCTTGAGTTTAAAGAGTCTTAAAGTGCAAATCCTGGTACCTATTCTTGTGACAGAGAAAGATATAACATGATCCCATTGCCTTGTTATTTTTTTTTTCTTTGCAAACATATAAACATCCAATCCGCTGTTAATAACCCTTAACATAATTAACGAAAATTAAACCATTGATTTTTTTTTAAATTGTTTTTAAAATATGATCTCTTATTATAATTTTATGCTGCTTTTAGCCTTTCTAGCAGTATTCCAAAATTTATTAAAAAAAAAAATGGTTCTCCAATGTATTAAGGTAACGAGCTGTGGATCTATCCAAACTATCAATGATACCTGTGATGACGATACTGTAACTTGAACAATCTGACTTAGTGGAAATGCACAGCACTGATGCATATTAAGGC